TAGTACGACACGGGCCCGCACGGGCTTGGGCCATGGGCGGCACAACCTAGGACAGCCCGTAGGCCGGCATGGCACGACCCATTTACCCTTCTATTTACTACTCACTAGCCCATTCTATTTCTCTACATCACTCTATAATATGATTAATATCTAGAGGTGTAAATCAAGCCATGCCGCCCGTGGCCTAGTATGGCTTGGAATGATTTTGAGTTGGCCCGGCCCGGCCTAGCACAATGGCTCACAAGCTATGACAGGCTTGGGGTTTCAGGTCCGCGGGCTAGGCCAACACGACACGATATATATATGTATATGTGTGTGTATATAATATTAATATATTAAAATAAATAATTTTTTTCTATTTTATTATACTATTTTATTTAATTATTGTATATATAAACAATTGTATACATCAAAATTCATATAACATAAAAATTTTAAGATTTTTTTTAATATTTTTAAATAAATAGCTTTGGTCTGGTCCACGGTCTAACCTGACCTGGCCTAAGGCTTGGCCCACAAATCAACTCGACCTATGGAACGACACAGGCCCACGGGCTTAGGTCATGGGCTATGTCAGGCCAACCTCCCAAAATATCACAGGAGAGGGAGGCACGGAACGGGACATCCCACGGGCTGCACGCGGTGCCTTTTTATTGCTCTACTAATCTCTACAACATGGTCCTATATAGACCTGTTCATGGGCCATGTCGGGCCGGGCTTTCACTTTGTATTAACAGATTTTTCTAAGGCCTGAGCCCGAGCCCGACCCTCATAAAAAGCCCGAAGCCCGGGCTTGGGCCTAGGCCCGAGCCCGAAATTTAGCCCATGCTGTTACTACTACTAAAGCGGCTGAATAGAGAGAGAGAGAGAAATTATAAAGAAAAAAATAAAAAATGTATATTAAATTATAAATATATATATATTTCAATAAATATTATATTATTTATATATTTTATATAATATATAAAATACACATTATGTATTTTATAAAATATATAATGTTGAATCCGGCAGCGCTGGGCTCGGGCTGGGCTTTTTTGACAAATCCCAAGCCCGACCCAAAACACAGTCGGGCTTACTGTGTTAGGCCCGAGGTCAAGCCCACGGGCCTAATTACATGACCAAGCCGGGCCGGGGTGTGGGCCGGGCCATCGGTCTACCCGGTCCATGAACATGTCTAGTCCTATATATGCAAGTGCTGACTTTTCTAGAAAGTAGAAACACAAGAGATGAAGAAAAACAGAAACAAGTTGTTGGAAAATAGTAAAGAAGGCAGAATATTTAATATATTCAAATTTTAAAATATATAAATAATATTTTAAAAATATTTAATATATTATAATAATTTCATTCAAAGGTCGGTTGCAAGGTGGAGACTTCATTCCATGGTTTTTAAAAACGAACTGATGAGCGAACCGTTAGGGGTCTGGTTACCGGTTCGAACGGTCAGACCGTTTGACCCAAACAGCCTGCCCGTTCTGATAAAAAAAATAGAAAATGATCAAAACCGTTCGAATCATTAACCAACCGGTTCAGCGGTTTGCTGACCAAAATCAATAGTTTTGGAGGAAAAAGCAGTTTTGAAAGAAAACGGAACCGGTTCCCAATTTTTCTGGTCCGGTCCGATTTTGAAAGCCATGCTTCATTCCCCATTTCATGGCGGAAAGGGGAAAATTGCTATCCTTAATCAAACAAGTCCAATATTCATCTTCAACCAACTAACCATAGAACTCAACCACTACAATTTAAACCGTTTGCTCAGGTTGAAGCACAAGCACTCTGAACTCCACTTCGTCTTGAATCAATCAACTAATCGACCATTAAATGGTAGAATGGGAAGCATAAGCACTTTAGGGGTGTCAATTAGATTGGATTGGGTCCAATTCGATCTTGCTTCAATGTGAATCTATTATAAATGGATTAGGTCCAATCCAATCTCATGAATATTTTGAACCATTTTGGGTCGGTTCAATTTAATGTTAGGACCGTCAAATCTATTCCAATTTATTTTAATTTAGATTGGTTTGCACCCAAACCCGATCCATTGACACCTATATTCCTATCTTGTATTAATGGACCAGATATTGGCTCAATCAAACCCAATTCAATATAAATTAATTCATTATGGCTGGRTCAGACCCAATCCAATCCAATAAATACTTTGGACCATTAAGTCTGGAATGGTCTAATTCAATATGTTTTGTTGATCCATCCAAATTGATTTTGGTTTGGATGGGGTCCAATCCAAAACTGGTCCATTAACACCCTTAATGTCTAGTGCCCTCTCTCCTCTAAGGTTCAACAACAAAAGCGGGAACGGAAACCAGAAAGCCAAAGCTAGGAGTGTACAATTGGGGTTCTGTTCAGTTTTTTATTTGGTTTTAATGATTAATAAACAATTAGTTATTAATCTTTAGCCTAGCTTTTAATGAACAATTAAAGCAACTACAGTCATTTAATGAACAGTTGAATGACTAATTATTAGAGCAACTACACTCATTCTTCACAAACAATTAATAAATAATTAATAATTAATCTAGACTTTAATACTCTAGTTGTTTAGAGTCTTTAAGCTATTTAATTAAAATCTGGAATAAGCCCAACCTCCCAAACCACAATGGAGAATTTCTAATTGATCATTAGCCATTGAAAAAGATAATAATTATTAATTAATAAGTATAAAGTATTAAATAGAATATTATATATTTAATATGCTTAATTAAATACAATCACTAATTCGATTTTCGGTTCGGTTCAATTGAAAAGCTCAATCAAATAAAATCGAAAACCGAAAATCAAAAACCAAAAACCGAATTTATAAAGAAACAAAAACCAAACCAAACCAATATCTAAATTAACCGAACCAAACTAGCTTATTCGATTTAATTCACCGCATTTGAACACCCCTAATCAAAGCAGTCGATTAGGGTTTTCTTTGCATCTTCTCATTTTTGTCTTTTATATTGATTGACTGCCAAATTTATTATTTTAGACATAAACTATTATACAAATTTTAAGAATGACATAAGAAAGCTACCAAGGGGGTACTATTGTCTTATTATTAAATATTTATGGGTTCCGACTATGATATGAAAAAATTATGGTATCTGAAAAATTTTTGACCAATCAATTGAAATCATAAACGTGGTAGCGTATTATTTATCAAAATTCATGGGTGAATTTTAATTGGTCAAAACTCTTCCCATACCATATCTTTTCTACATCATAGATTTAGTGTGGATTGAGTCGGTTTGAGATATCAGTCCCGAATTAATAATTGGAGCACAAAATAAGGAACCGAAACCAATCGAATAAGACAGGTGTCGGTTCAGTTAGTTTGGTTTTATTGAATAGACTCAACCAATGACAATCCTATCTTGAAAAGGATACTAAGAGTCTGTTTGGTTCGAGGGAATAGGATCCTGAAATCGGAATGAATCCAGAAGTTTGGTCGAACGGAATGGGAATGAGTAGGCGGAATGCCATCCCATATGTGATTCCCATTCCACTATTAGTTTCCTTTTTCTTTTTGGACAAAAACCCCTCCAATCGAAATTTGAAGCATTGGTGGCTTCACAACAGATAGGTGGGTTTCACTTTCTCTGTTTCGTTATTCGTTTTTTCTTACCGATGATCTACTGTGGGGGATTCGATTTATCACCTTCCCTCCCCTGTTTTATTAAGCTTTCTGCTACTGTTAGTGTTTCATTTTGGGTTTTTCGGACTGCCCTGCGGTCGAATTAGTTGATCTTCTTTTTTTCGGGTTTTCTTCTTGTTTTTTGTTTGGTTTGAACGATTTCAGATTGGCCCATCCTCACCAGTGAGGCTTTTATTTCTGGGTTCCTTTCTATTCGATTTATTCAATGGCATTGTTTGTTTACACCGGAACTCCATCTTAACTGACCTGCATTTGCTTCTCAGATCGTAGACAAATATGTAAAAGACGCTCGCCTACTCATTGCAACCCAGGAGCAATCGGAGATCGCCTCGGTCCTCAACCTCCTCGATTCCGCTCTTGCTCTCTCTCCGCGGCTTGAGTCGGCTCTGGAGCTCAAAGATCGATCCCTCCTCTACCTCCGGCACTTCAAGGAGGTCGCCGACGTGCTCCAAGAGTACACTCCAAGTTACAAGATGGTCTACGAGGAATTGTCCCTTTCCTCCGATAACTCTTCTCAGCAGCTCTCAAGGGAGCAAGTTAAGCTCCTCTCGTCTGACAACTCATCAGACTTTGCAAATCATAAACCTTCATTCAAATGCTTCTCTGTGTCTGACTTGAAGAAGAAAGTCATGGCCGACCTAGTGGAGGTAATTTCCTCGTTTATTTCTCCATCGATTACCATTTATATACTTCTTTTGTTTCGATTGTATCCTGATTTTTTGCTCGGTTCATTCAAAGTTCAAACTGAGACCATTAGAATGTCTGATTTTTTTGCAAAATTATTGTAATTTCTGCAATTTTCTGATTTTCTTGTAATTTCTGCAATTCTTGCAAAATTTCTAGTATTTTCATGCATTTTCTGAATTTGCTGCAAAATTATTGTAATTTTCTGTATTTTTTTTGCAAAATTTCTATATTTTTTGCAATTTATGCAGATTTTGAGTATTTTCATGCATTTTTCTGAATTTGCTGCAAAACTATTGTAATTTCTATATTTTTCTACAAAATTTCTGTATTTTTTGGTATTTTCATATATTTTCTGCTTTTTTACTTTTATTAGGGACAAAATTGAAAATCATGGTTGATTCCAATTCCAGTCTCTTGATGAATCAAACAGCATCAATCTGAATCTCATTCCAATTCCTGTTTGAACCAAACAGGTAGAGGTAATAGACAATTTCGATTCCCATTCCAATTCCGATCACGAACCAAACGGACTCTAAGAAGCTTCAGCAAACAATCTTTTTATTTTCTTTTTTTGGCTGACCAACATACTTTGGCAGTCTGGAATTTTTATCAAAACTGCTTATTGGCTGTACTGTATGGGTGGAGAATAGCTACCTTACAAAACCAAAAGCTACTGCATAGAAGCCCTCTACAGCAAGATTTAGCTGAACGCAATGGATGATTTGTACGTCGTAGAACCAATGATAAGATTCATTAGTAATAAAATATATGGGACCCATACCTTTCGTAGTGGGGCTTATAAATTATGTGAAACTTAGTCATTAGTTTCACAACCTGTTGAACAGCAATCCCAATTCCTTTTGAACAGTTCTAGTCAGAGAGAAGGATTTATGCTAATAAAAATATTCTCATTTAATTTTTATGGCCTTGACGTGAAGCCAACCAAAAAGCACTTTTGACTTGTATTGAATGTCATGAACTTTTCCTCCTGTTCTTGTTCAAATATATTGGATTCTAATGACAAGAAGAAATTTGTATGATAATTCAAAAATGAGATCCAAATATTGAATTCCCATTCCAAAATTAGTTGCACAGATTTCAGAAACAGGATCTGCTCTCAATGAATACTTCCAATAAGCCTTCCAACAAATTACTACAACACATCAGGAATAGAAATGTTTACAGAATCCGGATTTGATCCTCAGCACAATACATTTGAAACATCTTCTGTATTTATATTTAATTTTTGGGTAAATATCTTAAACGATTCTTCTGGTTCAACTAATTGAAATCGACGAAAAAGACTATTTTACCTTTTATTTTTATTCAAATTTTCAAAATAAAACGTAGAAAAAGGAAAAGAGACGTTGGTTCATCAAAACCCAGTATGGTATAAAAAAGAAGAGTTATCCCTCTTTTCGCTAGTTCTCTCCAAGCCTCAATCTCACTAGAGACACTGGTTCTCTTTTCGCGGGTTTGCTGGTTCTCTCCGAGCCTCAATCCCTCTTTTCAAACCCAGACAGTGCTGGTGCCGGAGACGCTGTTCTGAACCAGCGAACCAGCCGTTATGTGGATGCTCATTTCGAACCTCCGGAGACATTGGCCATCCATTTCCAACCGCAAGTAATAGATGCTGGTGCCGGAGACACTGTTTCGAACCAGCTGTTATGTGGATGCTCGTTCCAAACCTCCGGAGACGTTGGCTGTCCATTTCCAACCGCGAGTAATAAATGCCGGTGCCAGAGACGCTGTTCCGAACCAGGGAACCAGCCGTTAGGTGGATGCTCATTCCGAACCTCCAAAGGCACTAGCTGTCCATTTCCAGCCGCGAGTACTAGAGCTGACTGGAATGAAGAGCCGAACCAAACGGGGAATGAAGAGCCGGAAGGAAGTTAAAGGTTTTAATGGCAAACAAAGATATATTCTTGAGTTGCTTGTGTGGAGGGGAAGGAGCAAAGGAGCAAGCATGTAGAGCAACAGTAGTTTGGCTAGCGCAGGTCCCTTTTCCTTACGTTCGGGATTTCTGATCCATGTGCTTGTCTTTTTTGTGACAAAAAGAAAATTGAGGGTAATTACTTTTTTTTTTTTGGATTAAATTGAATCCAAAAGGAAAAATTGGAGATGCCGGGTAGTTTAAGAAATTTACTCTATATATTTTTTATACATGAAAAATGTTCCAATACATAACTTCAAGTGTTGTGATGATAATGTGAGAATCAAATCTGGATTCCTGTTTAGATGCCAGATTTTAGGCTCAGACTTTGAGATAGGCCCATTCAAATTTTGGCAAAATTTTAACCTGAGCTGAGTTTGACCCTGGAATAGGTCTAATTAGGATTATAAATTTCACATGTCATGTACTTTGCTGGTCCAAATTCTATGCTTTTTTTTCGTCCTAGCCACATGGCATGCACATGCCATGAGAGAGATGGGGAGATGGATTTAACAAAGAGAGATCTGCGTTTGGTTTATGAGAAAATTATTGAAATTAGGAATTCTGTGCAAAGTCCTCAAGGCATTCTATGAACTCTTTTATAACTTTTTTCACAGTTTTCCAAATGATTTTCTCATAAACTAAAAGCAGAGTTGAGAATGAGAAGAAAAATGGAGGCAAAAGGGGCAAAATAAATTGATAAACGAAAGAAAAAGGTAAGAAACTCTTAAACTAATAACATATCAGGCGGGATTTGTTGATGTGAATGGTTTTATTTTCTAAATAAAAAAACTACTGAAAACACTAACAGATGTTGCAGTTGTTTTGTTCTAAAACAACAAAACCATGTGTCAAACTGCAAAAGATAAGAAATTCTTGGTGCTTTCTTTTAGATTTTGTAGAAAGAGAAAGTGAGGGTCATAACTTGAATATCAGACTTTACGAGAGAAAATGTAAATACACTTAAAAGTAGCATCGAAATTGCAAATTTTTCCCTCAAAAAGGGGAAAAAAAACAGTCCAGATTCTTTGGGGAATTATTCCCACTTTTATATTTATAGTAGTACAAATATAAATATAAACTGAAAGAAGAGATTTCCTTATCATCTCTGACACTGTCAGTCTTTAGATCTAAAAGTTGAAAAATCCCATAATTGGCCCAAAAAAACAGAAAAAAAAAACCCCATAATTTTCGATGTATGGTTTGAACTTTGAGTAATCCGGCCTTATACTGTTATACATACCCAACTTGCTCAATAATATTAATTAACAGGTAGAGTCAAACTTTAACCTGCTGAAGAAGAAGAGATTTCTCTTTTAGTCTTCTCTCTACCAAACAAAAAGAAAAAAGAGAATCCATTCCAGATTTTCTTGGTCTTTGGGGCAAATAAACAGTTGGGTTATATGGGTGATGTGTCAAGTTATAATAACTTACTTGTGAAACTATTTCCAACTCCCAACTTTCTAACAATATCTAAATTATAAAAGCGGGTGACTGGGAGAGGGCCAGGCTGTCGAGTGGTGCAGTCGGTGAGCTCCAGCTCCAGCCAGCCAGCCTCTCTCTCTCTCTCATGTGGGTAGCCTCTGCCACTCTTTTGTCTCGGCCGACAAGCCACGCTTCACCCTTCAGCCTTCTCGGCACTCACCACCTTTAATCACACTTTACTCCACTTTTCCTTCTGTCCATGCCGCGTACAGCGTGCCACCACCGCTTATAAATAATGCTTGCAACGGGTGCACGGGCCTTCTAGATGAGAAGAGAGAAAAACCCAATTGGGAGATCGACCGAGAATGGCCACCGGAGCTGCTTTTGGGTTGCTCCAGTGCGTCTTCTCCGGCTGCATGTCTGACTGCAGCGCGGAAATCGAGCGGAGGCCCTACCACCGCAACTGTGGCTGCGCGTTGCACAAGTCTAGAGGCGATTGCTCCAAAGGGTCTTCTGGAAATGGCACGATATCGTTTCCGGCTCGTCGGACGTGGAACCAGAGTTTATTGGTCCTCGCCCATTCTTCTTCTTCTTCTTCTTCTTCTTCTTCTTCTTCTTCTTCTTCTTCTTCTTCTTCATCTACTAATGTAATTTCAAGAGGGGAAAGGAATCAATTGGAGGCTTGATTAGTTAGGCTAGGTGCCTCCTTTTTTTTTTTTTTCTTTTCTTATCCTAGATTTGTTTCTTCCTTACAATGAATCTGAAAAGCAAACCATCACAAAGTTGTTCTCTACTGCAATTTGTTATTTTGATGTTTGATTCCATATTATTTTTCTGTTTATCGACCAAGAACAAGATGTTTAAGCTGTGACCAACTTGATCGATCTTCAATGATCAATTTGTACATTGATCAGAAGCCTACTGTTGCAAGGCGTATGTAACTTCCGGCAGAAAGGTCAGATTTCTTTGTTTTTTTCCTTGCTGAAGGAAAGTTAGAGTCGGGGTGATCAAATGCTTTAGCTTTAATTTAACCGGGGAAATATCTACAGAAATTGATCCGATTTTGAGATGGATCACCGATTTGAACTAGCCTAGGAAATGGGAACAGGAGGAATTAGGGGAAAGCTAGAAACGGTTAGAGAGGAGGCTAGAGCATAGATGAAGATCTATTATTTCAATATTTTATCAGTTAAACAATAAAAGCAAGACCATCCTTTATCTACTGATTACATTTGGCTAAAGCTTATAGAATTTGCAAAAGCTTGGCTTTTCCAATAAATTCTGTGATTTAGTCCGAACTTTGAATGGAAATTTAGGGAGTAGCTTCAAGCCGAAAAGAGGTGTTCGGCAAAGATATATGCTCGCACCGTATATTTTTATTCTCTATACGGATTTATTCTCAAGACTTCTCCTTCACAAGATGGAGACTGGAATTTTGTATGGCTTCAAAGTTGTGAGGAATTGCCCAAAAATTAACCTCTTATTCTCAAGACTTCTCCAGCAATGAGATCAATGCAATCAAAAACACCATTGTTGAGTTCAATAGTTGTTCGGGTCAACAAGCTAATTTGAGTAAGTCTTCAATTCACTTCAACTCCAATGTCCATAGAAGACTGAGATTTGAAATCGCTAATTGCTTAGGAGTTACTGTTATGAAAAATAAGGAATTCTATCTCGGCTCTCCTCTTTTCACCCAAGGAAATAAAACCAATACTTGATACTTCATTTTGGAAAAATGTAAGAACAAGTTGAAATCTTGGGAGTCAAATTGCCTATCTCATGCTGGTAGGGAAGTTTTTGATCAAATTTACTATCAATGCTATCCCCACTTATTTCATGGCGACTAACCCCCTCCCCAAGGAATCTGCACCCAATTAAATGCTATGGCACGGGGTTGAATTCAAATGAGTCTCATATTTATTTACAAAGCTGGAGTAAATTTTTGAGAACAAAGAAACAAGGAGGATTGGGTTTCCAAAAATAGAATACCCATTATGAAACCCATGGAGATTCTTAACTGAACAAGGACGTCTTTGGACTAATATATTAAGATTGAAGTATCTCGGTAATGATGAAACCTTTTGGACTATGAAAAAAATGAGTTCTAGTTCTACAATTTGGAGGAGTATGTTAGGTTCAAGGGAGGTCTTGTTAAAAGGCACCCGCCACATTATCTTTAATGGGTGGAATACAAGCATCTATGGAGATCCTTGGATTTCAAATGCTCTTTTACCAAACCCATGATCTAGCTTTACAGATAAGGTGGCCTCCTTACTTAACTCTGTTAATGGTACCTGGAATTCTCAGTTCATCCATTGTGTCTTTCTTGGGGAGAGGATGCGGATCATGTATTCATCCATTGCCAAGCTGTAAGACCAGTTTGGTTTGGATCTTGCTTAGCCATGTGCACGGAGGAAAAATCAGACTGGTCTCTTCTCGATTGGATGTCCTTTTGGTGGGAATAGAGTAGAAATAATCCAACGGATGATCTTGGTCTTTTCAGTAAATTTTCTATAATCCACTGGCACTGTTGGAAGAGTAGATGCAAGAAGGCAATAGAGAATAAAGCTTTCAACCCAGTTGAAACTATTTCATCGGCCCATACACAGATTGAGGAGTTGGCTTCACTAA